CGCAGATGTCAATTACCGGGTCCCAGCCGGTATATACCCACAGGTGATTACCGAGCATCTCCGATGGGGAGGAAGATTATTTTGTTTACAAACAATCTTCCTCCCTGTGCATAGTACAGCCATCCCGATTAGTGTGCTTACAGTGAAGAACACACCCCCCATCCCCTAATAAAACACACACAGCACACAGTTAATCCTTTGATCGCCCCTCACATTAACCCCTTCCTGCCCAGTGCCATTAGTACAGTGTCAGTGCTTTTTTTTAGCACTGATCACTGTATTGGTGTCACTGGAGATGTTAGTGACACCAAGTTAGTTCCCCCCAGTGTCAGAATGTCTGCCGCAGTCCCGCAGTCCCCCTAAAAGTCACTGATCACCGCCATTACTAGTAGAAAAAAAATATACCGCCATTTGTAAATACTATAACTTTCACGTAAACCAATTAATTTACACGTATTGGGATTTTTTTTAGCAAAGATATGGAGCAGAATACATTTTGGCCTAAATTTATAATGAAATTTGATTTTTTAAATTTTTTTACTGGACATGTTTAATAGCAAAAAGTCCAAAGTATTTTTTTTCTCAAAATTGTTGGTCTTTTTTTGCTTACAGAGCAAAAAATAAAAAACACACAGGCAATCAAATACCACCGAAAGAAAGCTCAATTTGTGGTAAAAAAAAGAATGTAAATTTAATTTGGATGCAGAGTTGCATGACCACACAATTGTCAAAAGTACCACAGCACCGTAATGCAAAAAATGGCTGGTCATGAAGGGGGGTAAATCCTCAGGAGGGCAAGTGGTTAAATAACGTATTCAGACGCTTTTGTATATTAAATTACATACAGTGGCATGACCTTTATACATACATAGAAGGGATAAACATTGTATGTCTAATATCACTTTATACAGCTACACCAACAAATGTTTCCTCTTTTGGGATAAAGGTTTTCTATTTTACCATTGTAAGCACTGCTGTTAGTGGTAAATAGTTTGCCTCAATCCTTTTGCATTACAAGTTGGTCTGTTAAAGAAAGTCAGAAAAAAAAAGGGGAAAAAAAAAGCTTAAACAAAGAAAACTGATGCAGACACCACATTTTAGAAGTGGTAAGCTGCATTATATTAAATTGTTCTTTTTGAGTTTAGATATTTTTTAAAGTGATTATAAAGGTTCAGCTTTACAATAAATAAATAAATAACAAATATGTCATACTTACCTGCTCTGTGCATTGGTTTGCACAGAACAGCCCCAATCCCCTCTTCTTGGGTCCCCAGGCAGCGCTTTGCTGTTTGGCTGGGGCAATTGTCCATGCTCGCTCCAAAACCACCTCTATGTGTCTATGAGACACACAGACTCTGGCTTAGCTACACCCCCCACTCCCTCCTCATTGGCTGTGATTGACAGCAGCTGGAGCCAATGGCTCCTACTGCTGTGTTTCAGCCAGTGAGGAGAGAGAGACCTGGGAGAGCTTCAGCTCTCATGCATATCACTGGATCATAGAATGCATGAAGGTAAAAAACCTTCAGCCTTTACAACCAATTCAAGCAGTTTTGGGAATGGTTGTACAAGTCAATATACAAGATGCTGATATTTTTCTTATTTAACTCAGGCAAGCTTAAGCAGATGCTGCCATCTTGCCTATGCAGGGAAAGCAAGTGTCTCTGAAAAGAGCACATCTTGGCCTTCCTAAATCACTGCGCCTGCACTTCCACACATTACAGTTGGAACTACAATCAGCAATGTTAGTGACCTGGGGTAGCAGTGATATCACACCCTCCATCACATGACAGCGCTTGAGCCTTTTGATTGGCTGATGGGCCTGAACACTGTTAAAAAGGAGCAGGCCACAAGCCTTCTAAATAACAGAAGCACTGGGTAGTGTTGTCTGATGCAACTAAGAAAGAATCGCCAAGGGAATGCAGACAGGGAGGTAAAATGGGGTTGGGACCATTTGTAGAGCCTCTGTCAATTTGCCCTGTATAGGCAAGGTGATAGTGTCTCTTTAAAATTGTGAATACAGTTTAAAATTTGGTATCAAATGCCATTTAAATGTAGCGCTACCCCTTTGAGGGCCGTTGGATTTGACTTGGGTCCCCCTAAGCTCTGCACAGCCAGGCAACATGCATTTTCCACACTTGCACACTCTGAGTTAGTAATACAGTCCTTGAGCTGGTTTATAGTTGTTTTTAATAAGGGTCAACAACTTGGATGGGGTCTAGGGGTATATGGGATGCCCAATGAACTGAAAACTTGAGGACAAACTTCTTAGCAGCCTGTACACTGTACGAAAAAAAATATGGATCCAGAAAAATATAGCATTGTCTCTTTAAGGAGCATTGAAGTCCCCTTGATGTACCTCCTCAGACCCCAGATGAATCCTTCATCTTCACCCAGCTGCACTGAGGGTATCCCTGGGCAAGGGATTCCAAGGTCTAGCAATTAAGAGGTCCCAGGTGAGAAAATTTTACTGATTGGACCCCCTGTGAATTTTAATTCAATACCCCTGATTTAGAGTATCAGTCCTTGGAAGGAAGTGTAAATAATACTAGAAAAAAAGTCCAAATATGGAAAACATAAAATTGAAGTTCAGCAAAGAAACATTTTATCTTTACAAACAGTAACCCTCAGAAATACTCCACAAAAACAACTTCTGAGCAATAGAATTTTGCAATAAAAATAAGGAAGTGTTCGTCTATTTTAATGCTGTGGCTTTCCAGCAGACATAGATTACTTCAAATCAAATGCGTGGGTTGCTAACAATAACTTAGAAAAGGGTCAGGTGACTTTTGTGAACTGCAAAATGAGTCACTATATTGCAACATGTACCCTCCACTATAAAAGATGGTGCCTCAAAGGGTACAATACAGTGCAGGTTGTGTGTTTTGGACTGCTACAATGGTCCAAGTGCAAAATCTCATTCTTCTGTCACTGTGCTATGGAGCATTTGCAATGCCGAATCCACAAAATGATGCAGATGACAGTCCAAGGGATCGGAAATTTGCTCTGGTAGGGTTACTTTTTTATCTTTAAGTTTACAAAGTTTGTAGCACTCTCAAGTTTCCTATTTTCTACAGCAATTATCATTGTTCCTAACTTTTTTCCTGCTACTCATTTGGTTTTATGTATAGATCTGTACAGGGTATTGCCTCTTCTTTTTTCATAATAGGAAGCATGTCATGTATTTTGGCTAAATAATTGGTTGCAATGTGTCTCACTTTCCTGTTTTAGAAGGTTTGTAGTTTGTATATCACTGAATTTTGGTTCCATAGAGGAACCTTTCACCTTTCAAAGGGTTTGAATATATGTAGGAATGGTTTCAACTTCTATTGCAGACTTTCTTAAGGTTTTTACCCCAGGGATACCCTTGAAATGATTTTCAGATCTCAGTGAAGCTCTGATAAAACCAATTCATTGGTGGGCAGCGAGCAAAATGCCCCTTACGCTGGTGGTTAGTGGGAAAAATGTCCCCCTTACATTGGTTGTCAGTGGGAAGAATGCCCCCTTTACAATGGTGATCAGTAAGAAGAATATCCCCCGTATATTGGTGGTCAGAATGGAATTTTACAGACAGCTGAAAAAAAAAAAAAATGTATTAGCTCCATGCATGTGGCTCTGCAAAGTGACATCGAACCCAGAAATGAGAGGTCAAACTGCTACATCTAATGGAACACCTAGAAATCTCTGAAGGAAACCTAATTGAGAATGTTGCTCTAATGGGTCTTTATAGTTAGTGTATCTTCTAAGGAGATTAACCTCTCTTTTTGTCCTGATAGCCATTGTTACTGTTGTAGCACTACCCCGTTAGGAGTTGCTGAAGTTTTGGGTCCCCCTATAGTCCTGCCCATCCCTAGACAACATGCATTTTTCACAGACTTGCATTCTAGAGACAGTAAACAGTGCTTGAGCTTGGTTTCCCACCCGAATGCCCTCTCCCCTTATCTGGCCCAGGGGGTGTAAGAGTACTTATTCTTCCTCTCCTTTGAGCTTGTTGGGTTGGTGCCTGCCTTCAGGCCTTCTGCTAGGCTGGTTCCTTCCCTGCTGCACAGGTGGTCCTCTCTCAGGGGACTCCTGATATTGAGCTATCCTCCTTTCCAGCAACACTGCCTGTAGGTAGGCCTCTTCCCAGTGGGCCACCTCCCAGGCTCCTATATCTCAGCCTCTCACTTCATCTTTCACCCTAACTCTCCTGCTGCTGAGCATGCTCAGTCACACCTAAAGGGTGCCCTTGCCCCATGCCAAGCCTCCTGCATGGGGATTGGCCAGAGTCATCTAAGTGTGCAGGCCAACCCCTCCTCACACCCCCGCCCACTGCTTCTAGAATCTTCTTCAAGTATCCAGAACAGGGGAGTTATCAAGAAACTAACCTGCACGGCCCTCAGCCCTGATCTAAATTTGACCCAGTGTCTCATGCCCAGGCTGCTACTCAGCCTTTCTTCACTATATTGCCAAAAATATTGGGACGCCTGCCTTTAAATGCACATGAAGTTTAATGGCATTCCAGTCTTAGTCTGTAGGGTTCAATATTGAGTTGGCACACCCTTTGCAGCTATAACAGCTTCAACTCTTCTGGGAAGGCTGTCCACAAGGTTTAGGAGTGTGTTTATGGGAATGTTTGACCATTCTTCCATAAGTGCATTTGTGAGGTCAGGCACTGATGTCAGACGAGAAAGCCTGGCTCACAGTCTCTGCTCTAATTCATCTCAAAGATGTTCTATTGGGTTGAGGTCTATTGAGTTGAGGTCAGGACTCTAACAGGCCAGTCAAGTTCATCCACCCCAAACTCATCCATGTCTTTATGGACCTTGCTTTGTGCATTGGTTCCCAGTCATGTTGGAAAAGGAAACGGCCATCCACAAACTGTTCCCACAAAGTTGGGAGCATAAAATTGTGCAAAATGTCTTGGTATGCTGACACCTTAACAGTTCCCTTCACTGGAACTAAGGGGCCAAGCCCAACCCCTGAAAAACAACCCCACACCATAATCCCCCCTCCACCAAACTTTACACTTGGCACAATGCAGTCAGGCAAGTACTGTTCTCCTGGCAACCCCCAAACCCAGACACATCCATCGGATTGCCAGACAGAGAAGCGTGATTCGTTACTCCAGAGAACACGTCTCCACTGCTCTAGAATCCACTGCTCTAGCATCCAACGCTTTGCATTGCACTTGGTGATGTAGGGCTTGGATGCAGCTGCTCGTCCATGGAAACCCATTCCATGAAGCTCTATGTTGTTGTGCTAATCCAAAGGCCACATAAAGTTTGGAGGCATTTAACTATTAACTCTATAGACAGTTGGCAACTTCTGCACATTGTGCTCTTCAGCATGCACTAACCCCACTGTTGTTCCCAGTTGCTTCTACTTTGTTATAACACCACTAACAGTTGACCGTGGAATATTTTTTAGCAAGGAAATTTCACGGATGGCTTTTTTTGCACTGGTGGCAACCTATAACAGTACCACGCTTGAATTTACTGAGCTTCTGAGAGCGACCTATTCTTTCACAAATGTTTGTAGAAGCAGTCTGCATGCCTAGGTGCTTGATTTTATATACCTGTGGCAATGGAGGTGATTGGAACACCTGAATCCAATGATTTGGAGGGGTGTCACAATACTTTTGGCAATATAGTGTATCTAAAAATTGATAACTAGCTCCCCCTGGCTATCTAGAGGGGTGCTACACTGTGAAAAAAAGTAAGAAATCCATACATTTTATCATTGCCACCTTGAAGCTCCATGCACACTAGGTTTTTTCAAATTGCGGGCGGAATCGTGCCGATTCCGCCGCATTTCAAAAACGCTCTGTAAAAGTGTGAAAACGTGTGATTGCATTTTCAGGTGCCATTCATTTCAATGGCACCTGAAAACACAGTTAATTTTTCTGTGCAGTAAACATGCCACGATCGCAGAAACAGATTTGTGGGTAGTGCAAAGCCCAAAAAAGTTTCCTGTGAATGGAGCCTAACAGTACGTGATGAGAAATCTTCCAGTGTTCAGACTTCACTAGCTGTGTTTGTGTTTCTAGAAAGTCACTAAATACTTAATGAAGTAGGAATCAAGGTAGTAATCCTGGAGCCTGCAATTCACAAGTAAGTCAGAACAGCAACTCCCATCAAATATAACTTGATAGGTTTACTTTCAGTTCATTATTTCATTCCAAGTTTATGTACATCTACGGGGGCTAAATATAAACTGCTTTCAGGACATGTGTCCTCAGATGCCAAAGACTGGTGTGTATGCAAAATACATCTTACAATTAATCGGACAGCAAAAAGCAACAGATAAAAGCAATAACTGTAGTAATTTAAAATATATAACGTCTATCATAGAGGCAACCTAACTTAAACTTTTTTGTATTAAATCTAATTTATTACATTTACATTTTTTTACTTTTAAGAGTAAAAATGTTGCACAAGGTGTCTGCTTTATATTTATTAGTCAATGAACCCTCTTCAGTCTTGTCCTAGTTTCATTTCATTACTAAAGGCTTATCTTTCCGAACTTCATGACTAAGATCCACCCACCAACATCTAATTGCCCTGTGTGGGCACCCTTACCGGGCACTGTGGCAGACAGTGGACAGAAGGTGGCAGGTGGAGCATAACACCAATGGTCAGGAAGTTAAGAACTAAAGCTGCCCATAGATGGATCACATTTCAATCCATGTGTGTGCACTGTGGTTGTACACATGTCGAACTACCGATTTACTTCTGTACAACCACCCTTCTGGAAAATTTCCTCTTGATCAGAGCTGTCGGCTATAGACTGGAGCACTGAACAGTGTATTCTGATGGAAGGCATGTTTCCCTGTTGTCAGAATACAATGACACAATGGGGAGGATTCTTCCATCCACCTCAAATGTGTGGATTCAGAAACCGGATACGTTTTTTTTCATTTAACCCACTGATTGAACAAAAAAAAAAAAACTGACCCATCTATGGCCAGCTTTATTAGCCAAGTAAAAGATGTTCACAAAGGTGAATATAGGAGGGGCATATGAAAAATAAATGTAAAAGGGACACCCTGTTGTAAAGGGGACCCTTTGTGATGTGTGCACTTGGAAAAGATAGCAACCCTTTTTGCACTTCAAAAGTCAAGCTGGTATAAAGCTATACAATTTAAAATGTAGAAAATTAAATTCAGTAAAGAATATTTTCACTTATGTCACCACCTGCTTTCACCCATTTTGCCCTATCCTTTGGAATGTCAGGATTATTGAGGCAGGGTGCTGTGATATTTTCAGCTATGTACAGAACCCTTCCAGCCCCTCCCACCAGCCATGATCTGCCTGCATTGCAAAGAGAAGCACAGAAATCCAATGATGACTTTCCTGGGTCTAAACTAAGGAAGGTAATCAAAATGAAAGGGTTTTTTTGTTCATTAGCATGTTGATGATATGGGAGGGATGAACCAAAGGCAAAATATAAGCAGAATAAACTTCAGATTTTACAAAGGTGATTGTTTTCTTTTTTTTTCCAAGGACTACCTAAACAAATTTTATATAATAACCAACAAATCAACAAAAACATTTGAAGATAGGATCAAAGAAATGCAAAAGTTTTTTGAATCAAAATAACAGGAAGGCTGGACACCAGCACAATGAATATGATGAAAACCCCCAGATGTGGCATGCCTGATATGGCAGAATTCAGAACTTTCCCTGGAAGACCAAGATGGCCACGGACCTCCCTAACCTACAGGTATATTTAAGAGACTTGCTAACAGCCCTGGATATTGCAGAAGGTGGCATGTCACCCGAATTGGGAGTTAAGTTTTTCCTCGGTGGGGTGTATGTTGTCTTGTAACAGACAGAGCAGGGCGAAGCCTGATGTAACAGTCAAGAAAAAATTATGTCCTTCATTATACTTTGCATGCATTTCAGATTTGTCTTCAAATTTATACTTAATTGGGTTTTTATGGGAGGGTCACCTTAAAGCGCTCCCTGTTGGCACTACACCCCCAAAAAGCCATTCTTGCGGTGTTTAACATGGTGACCCAGTTAAGATCTGGCTTGGAGTGATTGCTTTAAACATTCAGTAGCTGAGTATTCACAAACCTGCCTCTAAAAATATAAAAGCAAAAAAAGTAAGAGAAAGAAGAAATACAGTCAGTTCTTATCAGGGCTTTTTTCCCACCTCTGAGCACCGTCTCAGTCCCCTACCCACCTCCCAGTACCACCCCATTTAGAGAATATAGAACCATTATAGAATAATTTTGTGGTGCTAAGTAGTTTTGTATGAAATTTGTTAATGAGACCTAGAAAAGCAGAAAATAGATCCTTCCCAGCAACAACAGATCCCCCAGAAACAATAAATCAACTCCAACAACAATCGACTACACCAGCAACAAAAGATCCCCAGAAACCATAGACCATCCAACAGTAACAATAGATCCATTTCAGCAACAATCCTCCCCCCCACCACCACCAGCAACAATAGATTCCCAGCAGCCAGCACCGATAGGCCCTCCAGCACACCACAGCACCCTTTGCCATCACACACATTCAGTACTGGAGGTGCTGGAACTACATTCCTCTCGTTCCTGCTGAAAAAAAGTTCTGGCAATGTGATATGATGTGATGATACATAGGTAAGAAAAACGGTAGCATACAAATTTGTAGCTACTGCCTTTTCACATAATCTCTATTTAAAGTGTAACTAAAGGCAAAACAGTTTTTTTTGTTTTGTAAACAGGGGAAAGGGATTAGAACCGCTGTCAGTTTTTACTGCTGTCCGTGTCCTCATTGAGGAGACTCACACTCTCTATATGTCCTGTTTTTCATTATCATTGAAAGCTAAAGTAAAAAAATCCTGAATTTTGTGTTGTCCCCAGAAAAGTATTAGAGGGGAAATCTTCCAATGAGGCCACTAGTTCTAGTTACCTGGAGCTCCCCAAAAGATTCCCTTCATTTGCAGGGATTTCCACTCACTTCCTGCTTTGGCCATGGGACAGGAATTGAAGATAAATCTCCTCATTAGGACAAAAAGGGCAAAAATAAACCTTGCAGTGGTTATATTCCTGCCTTACTCTGTCCAAAATGAAAAAAAAAAGTTTTGGCTATATTTCTACTTTAAGGAAAGGATCAGAGTTAAGACTGCCTGATACTCAAGTTCACAAGACCAAAAGATGTGTATTCTCCAGCCAAAAAATGTAATCTGTTTAAAGAATGAGGGGATCCTAATTTTATAACTTTCCTTTAAAAGCAGAGTCAGGAGCAAAATAATTAAAACATTTCTTGTCACATCTCGATTAGTGGAAGTGGCTTCAACATGCCTTATTGCTCAGATCTCTTAATGCCAGGCATTGTAATATTGATTTATTACACATAATGTGAAATTATTTTTATTTAGAAGACGTCTTAACCTTAAATACAATGTAGCACTACCCCCTCAGGAGTTGCTGAAGTTTTGGGTCCCCCTATAGTCCTACACAGCTGGGCAACACACATTTTTTCAGACCTTGCACACAAGAGACAGTAAACAGTCCTTGAACTTGTTATGTTGGATTTTATTAGTGGATTGAAACTTGGATGGGGATGAGGGATACATGGAATGCCCAAGGAACTGTTGCAACTGTTGCAACTTCCTGAAATTATGTACAAGTGCTCAGAAGAATTTTCTCTTTTTGGAGAGCTATTCAGCCTCTCCTGGTGTACCACGTCAGACCCCAGATGAAATCTCCTCTTTACCCAGCTGCCTGAGGGAATCTCTAGGCAAGAGGACCCAGAATCTGCCTCTTAAGATCAGCAGCCCCAGAAGGGAGCTAGTCAGGTTTCCCACCCGAATGTCCTTTCCCCTTATCTTATGGGGTTACTCACTCAGTCTCACCTGTGAGCTTGTGGGTTGGTGTGGCCTTATGCTGCGCTGACTCCTTCCCTGCTTCCCAAGCTGTCCTTTCTCAGGGTAGGATGAGGCTGAGAGATCCTCCCTTCCGGCTCTTCTGCCTATAAGTAGGCCACTCTCCTATAGCCCCTTCCAGGCTCCACACACCATCATCCTGCTCACCCCATCTTCCACCCTAACTTTCCTGCTGCTAAACAGGCTCAGCCACTTTTAAGGGCTGTCCTGACCCCATGCCAAGCCTCCTGCTTGGGGATTGGTCAGGATCCCCTAAGAGTGCAGACCAGCCACTCCTCACTCCCACCCACTGATTTCTAGAGACTTCTCCAAGTCTCTAGATCAGGGGGAAATTCCAGAGAGCTGGTCTGAAGATCCTCTGACCAAAATTGGACCTTCTCCTCCTATTCCACCAGGCTACTGTTCAGCCTTTAACTAAAAATAATCATCTAGCTTTCCCTAGCTACCTAGGAGGGTGCTACAACAACAACCCTTGCAAATCAGAATCCATCTAGAACTGGTCTGTCTTCAGAGTAAATTTTGATTGACTGCCATTAGCCAATAAATTAACCTTCAGAATAAAGCTGCTTGAGTACAATAATACTGTAATACTGTACTGTAGCTACTTGTAAATCCATATTCCATTTCAGTGTTTTAAAAGTAAATGTCCTGCCTAAGAGCATACATCAAAAATACCTA